CCCAGCCTCCTTTTGCTTTCATGTTGAAATACAATGCTTCTATCGGTGTGAAAATGCACCAGCATGCACAGAAGCATAATTAAAGGTGCATTTCCACTCAGCTTGCAGGATGACAACATGGCCACTTTAGGAACTGAAATAACACTAAAAAGTCGGTGAGGCGAGGCTGCCCAGGAGCCATACATCACACATGGCAACGCTTTTCAGTTGGCACCGCGTGGCCCTCACAGCCAGTCTATCTGTGTGTTTGGGAGGACAAAACAAGCAAACTGTGCTGTAGAAATGCCATGGCTATTTCTATTGATATCTATATACCTATACGGATAGAAATAAGAGCAGAGATGCTGTTCTAGAACAAATCTAAACTCCTAATTAAAATGACCACGGTGCCCTACGACCCAACCCTTCTTACTCCCCACCTTCCTCTAAGAATCCAGAGCCATGGTTTGTTTTCTGCACCTTAAAATGATAAATTTCCCAGTTTTTCTTGACCATCTTATATATCTAGAAGTCCATCAAAAAGTAAGGAAATCTGAAAATTAAATTTGGCTACTTTTTTAGATGTATATGAAGATTACTGGGAAATAAAGAGATGTGTATTCCTTGATTCATCACTAAGAGAGAAAATAAAGTCTGTTGTTCTTTGATAGCTACCAATAGTTTCAAGGGAAATGTCTTCATTTATTAATTTATTTCCTTCCTTCCTTCCTTCCTTCCTTCCTTCCTTCTTTCCTTTTCTTTCCCTCTATCCTGAAAAAACTGTTAGAAAAGCAAGCTATTAGAGCAGAAATAGCTGTGATTAAGCCTAATGTTTTCTCTTAACTATTTTTCTTAACTTCAGAGACAATACTAATTCTAGCAATTGACTCAGTATTGTGTAACAAGGTAATCCATACTCAAATCAATTAATTTTTAACCTGTTTTAGGCATGAACCATCTTAAAGATTCCAAGCTAATTTTTCTTATTCTCAATAAACAATTAAAGCATAAAAAATAGTATTACAAAATAGACTGTTCTTTCCTTATGTGATGAAAAAGTAATCTCATGAAGCGAGCGATCACTGAACTTTTAATATTGGAATTAAGTCATTCTTTAAAATATCAATGCCCTAACTAACTACATGTTCAAATGTTCATAAAATTAAGACAACAGACATCCTAATTGCTTAGGAGAGACAGTACCGTGAGCGGTCTCAGGGAAGTACGTTTACTGAGGAACCAGGATCTTGCCAGTATTTACCAGCAAGTTCCCATGCTACACAAAAAGCCAAGAAAATGTCTACTTCTTGTGCAACGGTCTAAATGTCAGTGTCTCCCAAATTCACATACACTTGGTCCTTGAACAACACAAGGGTTCCAGGCACCAACTGCCCCCCCATGCAATAAAAAATGCAGCACATATAACTTCGATTCGCCCCAACATATTCCCCCCAAACATAACTGCTGAGAGCCTACTGTTTCCTGAAGCCTTTCTGATAACAAAAACACTTGACTAACACATACGTTCTCTATAATATGTATTACATGCTATATTCTTGCAGTAAGCTAGAGAAAAGAAAGTATTATTTTTAAAAATCAGAAAGAAGAGAAAGTGCATTTACAGTGTTTATTGGGGGGGGGAAAAATCCATGTTGTTCAAGGGTCAGCTGCATTGCTATCCTAATGGCCAGTGGGATGGTATTAGGCCGTGGGGCCTAATTGGGAGGTCATTAGGTCATGGGGGTGGAGCTCTCATCCATGGGATTAGTGTCCAAGAAAAGAGACACCACAGAGGTCCCCAGGCCCTTCCACCAGGTAAGAACACACACAAGTCCCTGGTTTGCACAGAGAACGGCCTTCACCAGAAGTCAGCGGTCCCACTGCCGTGACCTTGGGTTTTCAGCCTCCGGAACGAAGAGAAATACGTCTCTCAAGTTTGGTGTTTTACTACAGCAGCCGCAGAGGATTGAGATGCCTTCCCTTATCACACCCAAAAGAACCCCAAGGTTTACAAAGTAAAACTAAAACAAGATCACACAAAGATTCTCTCTGGATGTAGAAATACAAACACAGATGATATTTGCTGGATGCAGCTTTCCAACGCAGTGCGGATGCTGAAAAGTCATCCTAACGTTGAAGCAATGTCTACATAAACAAAACAAGATCTGAGCACTTCATCTTAGCCAACAGTTGATTTAGGAGATGGCAGACTCTGAATGATTTTCTGAAAGGCTTTGTTTACATGGATAGAAATTGATTTCTTTCTCAATAGGTGAGAGTGGTCATTGATAGAATTAACTTTCCTTCCACAACATAAATGCTGAATCACGTTTTATGGCCTTATTAAAATGGGCAGACCACAGCTTTAGATTATTATTCTACACATCTATTTGTGAGTTAGTGGCATAAAGTTGAGGCATTTTGCAATAAAAATCTTAATTCAAGTGGTAGGTAGGTTGTTTTTTGGGTTTTTTTTTGTTTATTTTGGCTATCCATCAGATAGTAATACACATGTAGTACTTTACTATTATATAATTTGTTCCTGAAAGAGTTAGTTTTCCAAGTAAAGTGATAAAGTAAATGCCCCCAGGAAACTAGAACTTTTAAAAAATCCGAACTTCCATTGAGAAGGCAGACCTCTAGGTCAGTGTTTTCCAAACTGTGGGTCACAACTTGCTCTTAGGTCATGACATTATTTAGTGGACCATGGCGATGGTTTTTAATGGAAAAAAGATAGAGAACATCAAACTTATTAGAGTACATTTAAAGTTAACTTCTTTTTCTAAATTAATTATTTCTTCATTGTTGCTACTTATACTAAGTAGCTTTTATATTTAATTGAGTTTGGTAAAATGACTTAAAATACAGGTGACGACTGTCTTCTGTGGATTCTATATGTATTTGCAGGATGAATGAATGTAGTCTCATTGGATTCCCTTGTTCTTCCTTTTCCTTTAATTTTTAATAAACACAGTTTAAATGAGTCCAGGATACACCTTTTTAAAATGTATGTGTATCTATTTACCTACTAAAATTTCTCAAATTTGAGCAATGATATCTGATGAGATCTTTGTTTTCACTACATATATTATATAACAAAAAAGAGGAAATATTTGAAACATTAAGGTATTTTCATTGTAATATATGAGTGAGACTATAGAAATGTATTTTATATTAGTTTCCCTTAATTTGCATGGATTCTTGGCTAAATTGACACAAATTTCTGTAGACCAATTTTATCATACTTAAGCAAATCTATTAAGGTATATTAGCTGTTAGATATTGGATTTCTTTATTCTTTATTTTTTAATAAACATAGTTTAAATTAGATGGGAGTATCTTGGAGTCCTAGATTAGGCCAAATTCAATTAGTGCTTATTGGTCACTATGTTCCAGAACCTGTTCTTTCCATTGCAATAGTTCCAGGAATTTCAGTGTGTTAAAGCACACTGTAGGAGGGAGGCCTCGCTGCATATTTTTATTGTGTTTAATCACTGGAAAAGAATCATTAATCATAATAAAATTTAGTGAGTTTCCCAACTGTGGTAAATATTTATATGTGTATTTGCTTTACGTGTTATTCTGATCTCCAGATATTTTCTATTTGCTCTGAATCTCCCCAAGTAAACTGTACTGGGAAGTGGTGATAAAATACAGCTAATCAATCATTTTGACTCTGAACATTCAGGGAGGAAGCAAACCTAACAAAGCAAAAGCAGCAAAAGTAACTATCTAGGTAGTTCACAACAGCTTTGGTTTCAGAAACACCTCTTACAGAACAGTTACTAGGTCTTCTTTGAATTTTTTTCTAAGCGGTCCATACAGCCAGGCGGTCCAGAAAGACAAAGCCTGTTCACAAAAAGGATACCTGCCCTTCAGCACGAGATGCTCTGTTAGTGAGCACCTGTCTCAAGGACCGCTGTGCTCAACTTGACAAACATTCCCAGGGAACATCTTCTGTTCCTGGTGCTGTTCTACACGACACGTTCTAGACCGGGCGTGGCCTCGGCCCCCTGGGAGCTGCCACCCCAGAGGGGAAGTGAGATGAACACAAACAGAGTGGCCAGCGAGGGGCAAGGCCGGGGGAACACACAGGGCATCAGCAGTGAACCGTCAATGCGCAGGCTCAGCCAGCGGCCATGCAGCTGAGCACGTGGTCATAATACCCTTCCTCTCTGTGTCTGCACATCTATACGAGCTGCTCAGAAATATTAAGTTTTTCCTCTGCCTTCCAAGGAGTCCTTTATAAAATAAACACCACCACAGTAAGGAACGCCTAGAGAAATTGTGTGAAACTTTTACCTCTTATCAGTCTCACATCACGTCGAATTTTTCTTTGTTCAGAGTATCTCACTTTGCAATTCAACTTTCTTTGTACCACATTACTCAAAGAATATTCCGAGGCTGCTGGGTCTGTTCAGATAACAACATTACCTAAGCCTCAGTTTATCATACCACTGTGATGTCAAGTTTAAAAATCACCCTACTCAGCTGATACATATATCTTGTCCTCACCTGTGTTTGCTTTTTTCCTGGAAATTTGCATACATTTAGCAAAATCACCTTGAAGTTTTGATTCATGCAGTTCTATATACCTTTGGAGTCATAATTAAATTACTATAATCCTATTATTAATAGTAAAAGATATTTGAATGTCCATAAAATCAAAAGATACCAGACACTACAGTTAGTAAAATAAACATTCTTTGTTTTTGCGCATAAAAGGGTCACTTACAGGAATACTGATTACTCTCCATGAATTTAGGAGAAATAGAAGATTCTGGGGCTCTGAGACAGTCTCAACCAACTTTTCCCCTTGCCCATCCTTCACCCTCTAAGTAAGTTCCAAGTTTCCCTTATTTTTTTAGTACTCAGGGTAACCAAGAAAGAACTCAGAAGTCCGGATCCAAATATAACCACCAGCGTGTAACACCAACAAAACAGAATGAAACAAACGCCACTTGACCTGCGGAAATCGCCCTGGCGGTTTCAGGTGCAAGCGTCAAGGCAATGTCACTGACCTGAGGAGATGTCTATTTGGCTCATCTTGGTCTGCGTGACGTTGATGTGGACGCCGACTTTGCTCTCAATGAGGTTGATCTCCACGCTGCCCAAATTATCTGCAAAGTGACTGAAAAGCAGGAGGCCGTTGGGGTTCCAAGTCCTGAACTGGAAACTGACGGCAAACAGGTCCTGGTGGGCCCGTCCGGGCACCTCCAGGTAGCTGGTGGCGTTGAAAAAGACCGGCACCGTGGAGGGCTCCACACAGGAGAAGCTCAGGTTTCCCTGTGAAACACAAGGGCCTTCTGTGAGGAAAATGCAGACTGCGTTAAGCATCCAGGGAAGAGGGCAGACGGAGCTACGGCTCTACGGGTTTTGAAGCAGGGCTTCAGCCTGTCCCAGACTCTCACATGCAGCAGCGTGACGTGAATGCAGCAACGGGACACCTCGGCGAGAATCTACGGGAAGTGTGTACCTAACGAGGTGCAGAATTTGGCCATCAAGTGGAGGGAGGTGCCAAGGCCACGCCCTCATGCAATTGACCGCCTGACAGCCTGCTGGGCCGGGCCGCCGGGGGCCAGCCGTGCATCTCTGGGAGCTGCGGTGTGGCCCACTGGGCTCTCTGAAGGCCGTCAGGAGCTGCTGCCCCCCTCCCCCGACTAATGGTGCATCAGCCAGGGAGGAGGAGGAGGAGGAAATGCCACTGCCTTCCTCTCGATGTCCTATTCAAATGTTTCTTAATGTATTACTCTGCTCTCAGTGGGATCTATGGTCATTAAGCTGCTATTTATTAAACTGGTGTCATGCGGCAAATAATTTGGGTTTTGTACCCATACCTATTTATGAGTATGAACTATTTAGCATCAGCATAACTGTGATTATTTCAGGTTATTTTGTTATTCAACTCAAAATCCCATTTAAATGTCCACAAATTGTGCTACAATCATAATGGTTTAATGCTTATGGAAACGGTGGCATGTATGTACAAAAATCAAAACAAAACTCCCCACACTACTTCCTCTCTCATATTCCCCTTATTTTGAACAAATATTTGATACACTGAATTTTATATTCAAACACACTAAATTTTGTATTCCACAGTCGAAATACCTTCCTTGTAAAGATCTGAAAATCGCTGTCCTGTGGTGGTCAAGCCTTATTTAATTACATGAGATTCGGTGTGTTTCCAGCCTTGACAAAAAGTGCATTCACTTATATACGTGGGTGAATTATCTTTGGAAACAAGGAAGTGACTACAAAGAAGTTCCTGATTTTAACACCTTTAAAATAGTGAATCCCCTCATACACAAGAAGTGGGGAGCCGTGTCTGATGAGACATTTGGGAACATGGTGTTGACAAAGCAGCGGCAGCACACCTGCCGGAAACAGCCCTGAGCGAAGGACGCCCGTCCCTCGGAAATAAGGGACCCGGCAACACGAGAGTTAAAATGCTGTGCCCCTTCTCAATAAAACTCACCGTCTATGTCTGGCTAATTCGACCCCCACACACGGGTGGGTTCTCCAGTGCCCACACGTTCGGTAATTCTAAACTCAGCTTCATACTGCAGAGCCCACTACCAGCGTGAGGAAAGAGGCTGTGATGTTGTTGTTGCCCAAGAGTCCACAGAACACACACGTTCTGTGATTTTCCTGTGAGCCAGGACTTCGGGGGCAGAAACATCTTACCATGTAGTTAATTTGCTTCCCGCTTCTTTGATCCCACCGTAATAATTTGAGAAATATAATTTGATGATAGTTTTAACTGGTCCTTTATTTTATTTCATTTGTTTTTACACAACACCACTTATCGATCCCTAGATCACAGTTCTTTCATTCCAGCACATTAAGCATTAAATCTAAGGCAAGCTATCTCTGAATTATTCAAACTAAATTTGCTCTGTACCTTCAGAGACGATTATTTTTAAATGCTTACTTTTGCCCTGGCTGGTGTGGCTCAGTGGACTGAGCACCAGCCTGAGAACCAAAAGGTCGGTGGATCTCTTCCCAGTCAGGGCTCATGCTTGTGTTGCAGGCCAGGTCCCCAGCAGGGGTCGCTCAAGAGGCAAGTACACATTGATGTTCCCCTCTTCCTCCCTCCCTTCCCTTCTCTCTAAAAATAAATAAAATCTTTAAAAAAGTAAAAATAAATAAATGCTTACTTTTACCAGTAAAAGGCACTGCCTGTCCGTAATAACTGAGATGTCAGGACTGACCACACGCTTGTGTTGTGTGGACGTCTCTTGGCAAAACCAAAGGTCCTTTCCGAGTTGTGGTGCTGACTCTGGAGTCAGTGTACAATGAGGGGATGGGGGTGGGGGGAGCAGGGGGGCTGCTGAGTCATTTTCCCCAAAATATCAGCGCCTGATGTCGCTGAGAGCAAATTTCCTGCATAAATGTTCACCTCTGTTAGAACGGCTTGGGAAACGTCCTACGTGTCTCTACCCTGCCTAAAATTTTAACATGTATGTGTATTTCTGTTTAAAAGTGTATTCTATGTCTGCTCATTCTACTTTATCAAATATAATGATACAAATTTTATGCTTTACTCAGTATCTTTGTTATTCAAGGAAAAATAGCATTTATAAACACAATGTATTTTGCAACTGAAGTCGATTTGGGAATGAGTCTCTACAGTGAAATTCTCCGTAGTTTGGGAATTTAGGGGACACCTCTCAGGACCAACTGGGAGGCTTGTAATACTTTACCTCTTCTTAAACGTGCAAGTAATAGGAAGGGTGTTGGGATGAGTCAGATCTCTATGTCAAGGCACAATTTCTCAGAAAACAAAAGGACCCTGGTGCCCTTTTACCCAAAGCTTAAAACCGCATTATCTACTAATACGGTTCAAATCAATAACACGGCATGAAAGGCGACCACGGCCTTGGGAGTAACATGTTGTGAATGTACAATCTGCGTTTGCCAGTCCCGTGCAGTCGCCTCGGAAAGTTGTCTTCCCAAATTAAATCTAGTTTTCTCTTCTACAAAATAAGTATGATACTCTCTCTCACAGACTGATTCTTATTATCATACACGTCCCATGCCTACTAGCAGAGAGCCTATTGCCTATAAATGAAGAGATTTCTATTTTTCTCTGTCGTCAATCCACTTTATGATCTAACATCATCATGTTCAATTTTTAATTGTTAGTATAAATTATTACTTATAAGAAAAATAATTATTAAAGAAAAATTTTGCATTTGATTATGGTTTTCTAGTCTCTTACACCCAACCTGAATTGTTTACTCATGGGGGGGGCAGTTTCCATTTGTCCAACCATTCAAGGAAACCCCAGGCTCGCGCGTGGGGCAAGGAGACCCCAGAGCGCCTTCATGGCACAGCGCATATAGCTGTGCAGGCTGCGGAATGCCAGGCTCTCCCAGGTTCTGTTCTGGCAGAAGGGGCCGCTGTCTTACAGAACCGCAGGGAACACACATGCTGGGTTTTTACTTTAAAACCTTACCCGAGGATATGTTTATTGATTTGAGAGAGAGAAGAAGGGAGAGGGAGAGAGAGAGACATGGATCCTTTGCCTCTCATACACCTCTTGACCTGGGATCAAACCTGCGACCTAGGTGTGTGCCCTGGCTGGGGATGGAACCTGCAACCTTTTGGTGCACAGGATGATGCTCTAATCAACTGACCCACCCAGCCAGGGCACACATACTAGATTTTTAAGTTGATATTTTTTTAATAATCCTGAGCAATGTCACGGGGAGGCAGGTATGGCAGAGTGCTCTTTGATTTTTGGTCTCCTCCTTGAAATATTTAAACCTGGAAGCAACTCACATCGGAGCCAGCAGACTGCGGTGGGCTCCTGGTTCACAGCGTTCGCTGTCCTGTGGTGGCCAAGCCTTATTTAATTACATGAGATTCGGTGTGTTTCCAGCCTTGACAAAAAGTGCATTCACTTATATACTTGGGTGAATTATCTTTGGAAACAAGGAAGTGACTACAAAGAAGTTCCTGATTTTAACACCTTTAAAATAGTGAATCCCCTCATACACGAGAAGTGGGGAGCCGTGTCTGATGAGACATTTGGGAACACGGTGTTGACAAAGCAGCGGCAGCACACCTGCCGGAAACAGCCCTGAGCGAAGGACGCCCGTCCCTCGGAAATAAGGGACCCGGCAACACGAGAGTTAAAATGCTGTGCCCCTTCTCAATAAAACTCACCGTCTACGTCTGGCTAATTCGACCCCCACACACGGGTGGGTTCTCCAGTGCCCACACGTTCGGTAATTCTAAACTCAGCTTCATACTGCAGAGCCCACTACCAGCGTGAGGAAAGAGGCTGTGATGTTGTTGTTGCCCAATAGTCCACAGAACACACACGTTCTGTGATTTTACTGTGAGCCAGGACTTCGGGGGCAGAAACATCTTACCACGTTGGAGGGCTCCAGCTTCTTCCTTCTCGCAAGGTCAGTTATGTTGACGCCGTTGTAGTTAATGCCCTCCATGCAGCCTTTGAAATTCTTTCTGCTGCTGGAGCTTGGCTTCCCAGAGAAAGGTATGCCTCCAAAGGTTATCTGCGAGGGAAAAAATGTCGACATTCACACTGTATTCAACTCCAAAAAAACAACATCCACAATAAAGTAGACGAAACTATTAACGTAGGCACGGCCAGTTATCTTTACATCGACCCATATCCACGGAAGTTTTTCTGTCTCCAAAACCTGCTGCATATAAATTTATGTTGTTATTGAAGTGCATAATGGTATCATTAATTCTGACAATTAGATTATAACTTCAACAAGAATATCGCAACAACCCCTTGGGTTTTTGCCACCCAAAAGGCATCTTATAAATTTTCCTGAGAACGTTTGAAAACATTTCCTAAAGCAAACATATTTGATTAAGTAATATTAAAAATACATTTTTATATTGATCCTTCAAAGAAATACTATCAATAAATGCTTCTGGTCATCAGGTGATAACCAGCACTAATACATAAGTTGATAAAACTGCAGCCAAAAGCAAGGAGTATTGTATTTACCTGACATAGACTTATAGTCTCATGATCATTAAAGTAAAAAATTCACTAGACTTATGGTGAATACAAAAACTAGTTTATGAGATCTCATTATCATATTACTAGGGACATCTTAAAAGTTGGGGGATATAACTTGAGAAGTACTGGCTTGAAGATATTACAGGTCTTCTAAATTCTAAGGAATAAGGCTAGTATTTCTTCCTGTGTGAATCTTTAGCTACTGTTGCCTAAAAAAGAGTATTTTTTCCATTTATCTTTGGTTAAATTACACTATTATTATGTCATTTTTATGTAACACAAAATTATACCTATTTATGCACTGCCAATTATGACATTTACTGTTAATAATGAAAAAGTAGGATCATTTAGAAGGTAAAAAAAAATCTTTTTATTTACTTAGGTATAATTTCTTTAACTGGCCTAAATTTTAATTTCTTTAATGACAATTATATCTGAGAAAACAGAACTTGTTAAAAGAACTATTAACAGTAATAAATTTATAAATGCCTTAATATAAATCAGAACTCAGGGTTTCTTATTCAACATTTGGTAATAAATATTATACAGTCCTTTGTATATCACACTACATATTATCAAGTAAAACAGGTAAGTTATATTCTAATTCATGACCAATGGAAAGATTATAACAAATTCACTCAGGAATTGTTAAATGATCCTGATAACATGAGAGATGGTCCCTTCTCTTCACATTCTTACTTTGGTATCAACATTTTAAAAATATTGCATTTATTATTAAAGTTTTTAGGAATGAATAAAATGATATATATTCATAAATTCGGTTTTGAAGTTATATGTTCATTTTTCTTTGGAGACTAAAGTGGAAGTGGGGCAGGGAGACATCTAATTCACAGCAACCCAACCGCAATACAGCGGGGGCGGCGGCGGCCCCCGGACACACATTGGCGCCGGTGCTCAGGTTCACCTCGTAGTCCAGGTCCAGGTAGTCGAACTCGCCGTTGGTGCGGAAGTGCTGCACGCTCCTGTCCAGGGAGAGGTCGATGCTCCGGCCCTGGCGCTCAATGACCACCGAGTGCCAGTGGTGGTCGTCCAGCAGGCTTCCCGTCGTCACGGACGTGTGGCCGTAGATGGGGCCGAGCTGGTTGCTTCCTGGGTCACAGAGAGGAAGAGAAACAAGGCGATGAGGCCACGGCAGCGGGAGACCTTGGATTAGACATTATGGGGCAACGCTTTGTCTGCTGAAGTTGGGACAGGAAAACCAGCACGTGACTACACTCCAAAACCGTTTTAGGTTTGACATACATAAAAGTTAGCAAAGATGAAAAAGGTCTGTTCTCTTAAAAATAATAAGCTTTAAAAAATTATTAGTTTTTTAAAATTTTTATTATTGATTTGAGAGGCAGAAACATAGATTTGTTGTTCCACTTATTTTTATGCACTCATTGTATGTGTCCGGACCAGGGACTGAACCTGCAACCTTGGTGTACTGGGACGATGCTCCAAACAACTAAGCTACCTGCCAGGGCCTAGCTGCCTTTTAAAGTCAGTGTCCTGGGAGCTCTGGAGCCACAGGGCCTGGGTTCTGATGCTCTGCAATGCTGGGCAGGTTGACAACTTCTCTGGGCCTCTGTTCCTTCAGATATAAAAATGGGAAAATAATAGTACTGGCTTTACAAGGTCGCGGTGGGGATTTACCACGTACAAGCAAAGAACACAGCACACTTTCTGGCATACAGCAAACATTCGTTAAATGGTACCTGCTAACAGTCTTTTATTACTGAGGTTGGGGGTGTTCTTTTAAAATACAGCATACCAACTTTCCATTTTCTCTGCCTCCAAATGCCATAATCTTAAGCAGAATGTAATATTTAATGATGCTAATGATACAATTTGGAGTGTAGTATGCTAAGTGAAATAAGCCAGTCAGAAAAAGACAAGTACCTACCATATGATCTCACTGGTATGTGGAACCTAATGAACAAAACAGACAAAGTGGATACAGACTCCTGGACACTGAGAAGAGACGGACAGCTGTCAGAGGGGAGGGCGTTGGGGGCTGGGTGAAGGGATAAAGCAAAAAAGAAAACTCAGACAACAGTATAGTGATTACAAGAGGTAAAGAGGAGTGGGAGGAGGCAGAAGCGGGAGCAGTGGGTATAACTGGTGACGGAAGGAGACTTTACTTGGGATGGTGAACACACAATACGATATACAGGGGATGTTTCATAAAAGTGTAAACCTGAAACCGATATAATTTTATTAACCAATGCGATTCCAATACATTTTTTTTAAAGTAACAAACAAACAAAACAACAACATCCACAATTGGTATACACAGCCTAGTTGAGCTAGGGGAGTACACTTTGCTTTCTGTAGCATATACCAGTACACAGTGGCCATTTCCTTTTATACTTGATCGAAAGTGTTTAAATTATTAAGACTGGCTGTTCAAGTTATGGATAAATTTCAAATGACATACTATAATTTTGGTTGAGATTAAAGATAGCTATTTATGGAGCAGTCAATGACTAATAAGTGCTTACTTTGGAAGAGTCTAAGAATAAAGCTTTTCTGGAAAAAAATATGGCATTAATCGAGTTTATAAATAAGATCTCCATAGCAATAGGATGTAAGTAAGAGGGAAAGCCTATGAGAATCCAGAATGTTTACTAAGATCATCTCTGGACGCTGTTAATATATTTTATACCATTTTCTATTTTGTCTAATGAAAGACTGCTTTTTATGGTCAGGCAAAGCTAAATGCTATAAAAATATAATATCATTTCAGAATAAATAGCATAACAGAAATAAGAGAAACAAAGGACTGAGAAATTATTTCCTTTTTTCCCCTACATTTAAGATGCTCATGGTCCCTATACCTGACATTTTTTATGAATTTCCTAGGTCAAATTTTCTTCCTTCTGGTGATGAAATCAAATGGGAAGATTGTGTGTATATGTGGAGGAAGGAGGGAGAAGAACAGAAAGAAGAAATCCAAGTGAAAGGCTACGTGCAGTTTTATTTAGGTATTTAGATCAGAAGACAAAGCAGCAGCCACATGTGTGTGATATTTGGGCAATGGCATCAAAGAGGGACAGGGGATGAGGGCCTGGATGTCCATGGCTGTCATAAACTCCAGTCAGTCAATAAAAGTCTGTACGTAAACTGCTTTCCAGGGAAATAGCACTGATTTTTTTTTTTTTTTTTTTTGGCGAGGTCATAAGATCAGTGACTTGTTTCAGAAGAGTACTGTAATGTCTCACTGTTGTGAACGCACAGTGGTTCTATGTGTTTCAGTTTTCTTAGAAAAAGGAGAACAGTTTGAAAAAATAAACTTTTAAAGATATAATCCAAAGCACACACAGCATTGTGTGTGTGTGTGTGTGTGTGTGTGTACTTGTTACGATACCTTACACTTGGTTTTCTGAGTTTCTCTCCCTCATTTCTCCTTAATAACTTCATTTTTTTCCCATTAAAGTTATTGGGTTAATAAAATTATACAGGTTTCAAGTGTACAATTTTATGATATATCATTTGCATATTGTCTTCTTAACTTCTATTGAACCTAGTTTCAAAAATTATTTAGAACTAATTTTTTCCCAGGTAACACATGAATACATATTCAACATTAAGAGTAGAGAATATTATAAAGAATTAACATGTGAAGCATTATCACTTATTTCCACCACTGAAGAGTGTAGAAATAAGGTATTTCCTTCCAAACTTTTTTTCATGTTACATACATGTTATTCCAAGAGTAAATCACCCGTGACCTCTATGTTGCCAAACGGTAACCTTCCTTTTGTCTTCTCATGTGACATTGTGGGTGAATTCAATACAGTGACCACCTCTGTCCCTTGTTTCCTCCCATTCGCCATCCACTTCTCAGTCTTCAGTTGGCACCCTCTCCTGCCAACCTCATGCCTGCCACTCCCTGAGAGACATCTCAACTTCGATGACTAACCAGCAAGCAAAATGCACCCTGTTTCCAAACAGAGCTCTACGAGAAGAAACTAATAATCCTCTCTTAGAAGACACCCTACAGGGAAAACAGGGCTTTCTCCATTTCTGAAAATGGCACTAATGCCCAATGGAGCCTAAGCCATACCCGAGGAATTACCTTTTATTTATTCTCTTCCTTCCTCCCTAAATACCCCATTCTTTACAAATCACACTGCAGTGCCACTGAAATCATCTCCGTGGCAGACCCATGCCTCTGCCTCTCCACCTTCCACGCGCCAGTGCCAGCGCATCTTGTACCTTGAGGAATTCACCTTCGACTCTCATGTTGGTAGAGGCATTTGCTCTTATGCAAGTCTCAGTCAAGTTCCTCTTCTTAACAACTGTAATATCTAACCTCTGCACTGAGCTCGGCAGGATCTTACAGGATTTGGACAATCCCTAACTTTTGGAATTCATCTTTGCTCCCACTTACTCCAAATGCCCACACCTGCTTCCCCGCTCCTCCTCGCGCACGCCAGGGCTCTGTCTGTAGTGACTGCTTCCTGTGAAACGCTCTTCTCCCAGCCGTGTTCATGGCTAGTTTTTGTCATTGACCTCAGCTTGAACATCTTCTTGTAGAGGACTTTCCCCAGTCCGTATTCTAATGTTGACCCCTCTTGCTTCTGCAGTGTTACGTTAGCCCATTGCACTGATTTCATACGATGGATGGCCCTTGAACAACACAAGTGTGAACTGCATCGGTTCACTTACAGGAAGGGTTTAGTCAATACCTGCAGTCAGCTCTTCGTATCTGTGGACTTTGGCATCCTCAACCTCGGGTTCCCAACCTCAAATGGAAAATACCTTTTCGATCCATGGTTGGTTGAATCCTCGGATGCGTAGAGTGCACTATAGAGTCAAAAGTGATGCATGGAATTTCAACCGTGCGAGGGAGGGCGTGGCACCCCACCACCTGCGTTGTTCGAAGGCCACCTGTACAGGTCATTTCTTCAGATTTAGTTGTTTTAAAATAATAACAGCTAATCTACTACCTGACACCTCCACTAGATGATACACTTCATGAACGCAAAGTCCTTCTCTATTTTTCACCACTGTATCCCAGATGCAAGTATACACCCTGCGCAATACAGGTGCGTCATCAACCCTTCTTGAACGAATGGGAGTACCAGTGTGCCAATAGAGACCAACAATTACAGGTTAAAAATGGATCGATAACATTGTGAACTTTTTCAATAATTTACATTTTCAGGGCTAAATAACATTCACATTCCATTAATGGCAACATCAATAAATGGAGAGAATGAGGCCAGAAGCGAGAGCTTACCGAGGTTTAAACTGAAGACCAGCTTCGCTTTCTTCAGTTCCAAGGTGACGTAGTCTCCTTGCTGCCCTTCCCCGTGCAAGAGCACCCCTTCACTCTCCGTGGTTTTAAATTTCAAGGCAATGACATCTTTCAGCGTTTTCATCTTCTTGTTTCTGAATCTATATGGCAGCACAACATGGCCATCAAAGTTGATAACATCAGCCCCTAAAATAAGGAAAAAAAAAAATAACATTATAGCTCAGCTACTGTGTGTTGTCATCCAGTGTGAGGTACATCTATTTCCAACCAGGGTCTGCACAGAAAAAAATGAGAAAGAAGTGGTTTTTTTCTTTTTGGAGAAATCTGAAGTCCTGGGTTCTTGTTCTTTTTCTCCTTTTGGTTGCTTGTGTGTCCTGAAGTGGACTGTATGTGAAGAAGTCACAAAGAAAGATCGTAGAAACCTCTATCGATATAAAATCTTGCTTCAGTTATAATTATGGTTAATAACATAAATGTCCTCCATGATGTCTATACTTCAAATTTTAACTTGGGAATCTAGAGTTTATTTGAAATAAGTAAAATTTTTATTCCTTGTGGCATGATATTTTAATGTCTTCCTTTTTTAAAGAGGCTAATTCTTAGGCTTTTAAATCACTCACAAATTAGCCTTTCTTTGACAGAAGAATGAAAACACTTGAAATTCAGGGTTTGATAGTCTACTGACATTCTAATATGTTTTTATACCCTACCACATTTTGAGTAAACTTTATGGTAGTACTCAAGTTAATAGCTCATTGAACTTGAAGAAGTTTCTTGACACTTGCTCCTAAGCCTTGTGTCTGTCTTAAGTTTCGTGTTAGCTCCTTGCCTTTAGAACGGAGAGTTGAGCTACTCATCTTTTTGATCACACTGATTCCTGAGCCATAAATGAGTTCAGAGAACAAGTATCTAAGCTAAACTGTGACTATCAGAATTCTAATTTGATTTTAGAGAATTTCATTGGAGACACAATTATGTAAACTTTTTTGAAGTATAAACAATTTTGTCACCTTACTGAAAAAGAAAAAGGGAGGGTGGGGACTTGTTTTTGACCTGCTGCTTCATTCTCGCAGAAGTGGAAATGAGGTTACCTAAGGTATTATGCCCTGTGGCTTGGCGCTTTTCCAACCAAGTTTGAGTACAAAAGGCAGCTTAGGTCCCAAAGTTAGACCTTTATTATTAAAAGTACTTTTTAATCCATTTATTTGGTTTTTAATCTGGAATCAAAGAGAACCCGGTCCAATGAAAGCTCTAAATACCTTAGAATTCCAAGGCTGCCTCTCAGTGTGGGGCCCGGTCCTGCTCAAGAACTCCATGGGAGAGGCTGGGGAAAAGTCGCAGCCCCTTTACAGCCTGTCGCGGAGATATCTGCCCACTCCACATCCCCATGCTGTGACCCTTCCTTACTGCAGCCACCCAGGGACCGCTTTGGTCCGCCAGGACAAGAGGACACCACGTCCCCACGGCAGCTGCTGCTGTGGTCCAGAACGACCATATGCACTGCACATTCACTAACTGTTTTGGGGTTGGTTTTTTTTGTGCATTACTTGCCAACATTCTAAGTTTTGTTCTTATCTAATTCTCTAATGTGACTGCCACGAACACAATCATGGCATACATTACTTGAAAATGGTACTGAGAGTAGAATAACAGCTGTCAGAGGGGAGGGGTGTTGGGCGCTGGGTGAAACAGGTGAAAGGATTCAGCAGAAGAACACCCACTAAATTCATAGACACAGACAAAGGCACGGTGATTACCAGTGGGAAAGGGAAGTGGGGCCTGGGAGAGGAGGGCAAAGGGCAGATGACTGGTGACAATAAGAGATTTCACTTTGAGGGGTGAACACACAGTACAATATACGGATGATGTGTTAGAGAACTGTGCACCTGTAACCTATCTAATTTTATTAACCAATGTCACCCCAATAAAGTCAATAAAAATTTACAAAATTAATATAATAAGACGAAGGAAAGAAACTAAATCTAAATCTACGTTCTTCCTTCAAATCATTGATAGGCTTTCAATCCTTTAAAAATATCCCATTACCTTGCATATTTGTGTTTTTAAAAAATAGTTTAGAGAATTCTTGCTTTCTAAAAAGTTCGGAGAGGAAAATATAACTTTGAAGTTTAAATTATAATTCTAATAGTCAGTTCTTTACTGTCCATAAAAAGACTCTCTTAATCAACAGAATTCTGTTCTCCAAGACTGTGAATCACAGAGGTTTATTTCACTATGGGGGAAAAAATCAGCCATTAAATTTTGGTTTCTGCCAACACTGCAAAGCCAATTAGACTTTAGCTTAATCAACTATATTGTCACAGCTGAATTCCAAGTGAAGTGTCTTTATCATCTTTGATGAGAGATAAAAGAGAGAAAAAGTGAAATCTGATGATCAGATACCAGGTTGAATTTATAATCCAGTAGTTGGTAGATATTACTTTTTGTCTTAAAAAGTGCCTACATGAAGAGTCACAGGGAAGGAATAAATTCTGCACTCTAGAAAGTAAATTGCAGCCAATTTCCTATCAGTGACAGATGAATAACAGGCGCATCATTGTTTTACACACCATCAGAATATATTAATTGACATGACATATTTCCCATTCATCTCTCAGGAAGCAAATGTTCCCTGTGCTTAGATAGAAGGAGGAATTTACTCCCACTGTCCCTTCTCCTAAATCAAAATCTGCGTTCAGTTTCAGGTACAGAATAGTGACGTATGCAAATGTTGATGTCTTTCTCCCTTACATGTAAGTCAAAGAAAAAAGTGACAGAAAGGGTGAGAATAATTTATTTCTTCAGAAAGCCCTAGGATATTAACAAAAACATGAAGGGACGCTGTGGAAACATACCAAGCCTCATAGTACAGATGGTCAGTGGCAATCGGCTTGTTAAGAAATTGACACGATGCTTTGCAAGCCAGCTCCCTCACATTATTAACCCAAAGGCGCTCTTCTCTGAATGGGTTAAATGCTTGCACAATATCGGCATGTGGCTGTGATCTTAGAGTTGGCCTGGATATTACAAAATTCCTAGAAATAATCTATGACATAAATGTGTACATTAACATACACCATGCACATTTATGAGACTCTGGGGTATGGTAACATCCAGAATTTAGTTCTATTTCCTACAAAAATATATTGAAATTTTATTTGACATCTAATAACATGTGGTTATTTTGGAACAAGTCTCCTTTTCCCCCATTACCCTGATTGCTTATCACTCCCTAGAACTGGGTTTTCTATGCAGTGATTAAATATGTATGGTTGAACTGTTTAAGCAATCTGAACAACAGTAAGCTAGGTCAAAAAGTGAGTGCAAAATCAAGTGCTTCCACAATTTTGTTTCTAACCATAACTCTGAGAGCTGGCAATGTGCCAGTTCATCAGATCATCATGGTAGAAAGCCTTTTATTAAAAAAAAATTCATTGTTACTTAGTCTACTTCCTGAATTTGGATAAGATATTTTGGAGAAGTTTTTACCATCTAAAAATGTTAATATTAAAAAACAGCTTTGCTATATTTTTACTACAAATATAATGCATGCTTAGTGACAAGAAATTAAACCATACAGTAATATAAATACAGAATGGGATTCCCCAACACAAGAGCTCACCAACGTTAATGAGTAAAAAGTTGGTGCATATTCTTCTAGATTTTATGTACTTACTTATCTAATTTATGAAATAACCCATTCATTATATGTGCATATATGTATGTATGTACGACTATGTATACATATATATATGTGCATATGTATAAACAAGAGGGAGAGAGAGGAGAACGTCATTTCATTTGGTTATGTTTCAAAAGGCACAATGGCTCTCGCACCCTGGGCCACCGTCCACCTGACCCAAGCACTCCCGCGTCAGGCACCGGACCACGAGGGGCACTCCCTGAGCTCTAGAGCCCACTGGAATCACTCAAACTAGCCAATCCTGACCCAGCATACCCTGCCTCTTGCATTACTTCCTCTAGGAGCCACAGTGAAGGCTCTTGCCCCACCTGCCCCTTCCGCCTTCTGACAGCTGCTGCTTCATCTGTGGGGTCCCCCCAAAACACCCCTCCTCGTGGCATGACGTGGCCCTTCCTTTTGGGAACCAACAATCTTCTCATGCCAATGGTATCATGACATGCTGACCTTACTACAATCTTAACTTTTCTAACAATATGAAAAACACTTGTTGGTATTATGGTTCAGATATACTACATTCTAAAACACCCTCTACAGCAAGTTCACATATTATATCTTAGAAAAGAAAGGGTGTATCGAAGTGTTGGCCAAGCAAAAAAAAAATCTTACAATTGTTGGCAAGGGTCATTCCATAAGGCTGCAAAAAGCTCCTTGACAGTACATTTAGAAACCATCGCCCCACGCTGGTGTCTCCCAGCATTCTCCGTCTCCTACCGACCTCCATGGCATCATTCCGGGAATGTGAGGCTACTGAGGTAAAGGTGTGAGTTTTAAAGAAAGAAGAGATGCATTCTCCTGTCCAAGAAAATTAAGATTAAGATAAATCCGAACAGAGGAGGACACAGCACATCGAAAAGTGTTAAAGAGCTGAGTGGCTCTGCGTGACTGTAATACTCAAGGCGGATGGGCCATGGGAAAGGACTGGTAGAGGGCGCCACTGCCCCACATGAGGGATGTGAGTCTGTGCAAGGAACGGTGCCTACAGGGAAAGCACATGTTTGGGTTCGCCTCCCGGGAAGGTAATTCCTGGGCTGATGCGGGAGTGCGCACAGGGCAGAGGGAGCAGAGGCTACGCCCCGAAGACGCTGGCCACCCAACAGTGTTGACAGAGGTCCAAGCCAGGATCCAGAAGGGTACTGGGTCGTGAATGAATGCAAAGCTCTCCGACAACGCCTCACTGCCACCCAGAACTTCAAAGTAGTTAAGGCTTCCAGAGAGATGGTAGAGTTTCAGATGAATATTTACATTTATAGTTTTCTCCAAAGTTGTGACAAGTCCCATACTAGAAAAGAGTCAGGGCTTTTAAGGAAATGGAAAACTACCCTAACAACAAGACCAAAACATCAAAAATTCTACTTCGAAATATGCTAAATATGTGTTCACTTATTTACACCAGCTTAATTTTTAGACAGAATCTCAGTTTTTCACTTCTTCAGCTATCCTATATTTTAATTTTCTATCTCATTCAAAGTCATACCTTAAAAAA